TCACCAGGCCTTTTTTTTTTGTCTGTTTTAGCCTGAAAGATCCACTGAAACTTGCCCCCACGGGTAGCCCTCTTGGTGTTACCAGTAGCATTGCTTACTACACCATAGCAACATGCAGCCTAGATGGGCAGAGGGAGTCTCAGCTGTTAGATTAGAGAGGTTCCAACTCCCCCACTCTCACGTCCCCCTGCAGGAGGCAGCAGGGGCCTGGGGAGAAACAGAGGCAATGTGACAGTGACAGCAAGGCACCCTGAGAGGTGGGGACATGCCCTAATGGGAAACCCAGCTCAGCCTTGCTTCCTCAGGAAAACAGAGCCCACACTTGTGACGGGACCACCTGCTCTGCCCATACCACCCGGTGCACGTGAGGGCAGGCTGGGCCGCAGTCTGGATCTCGAATGCTGGCCCAGGGAGCTCACTGTCCCGAGCCTTTTCCATATTTGCCACCAATGAGCCATGGTGCAGAAAGCAGCCGTACACAGGGGGGTGAACGAGATACAGATTGCGGTTTCTCCTTGTTTCTAACTAGGTTGTGACCATTTGGATAGCTTGTCTGAGATCCCAGCAGCAAGTCTGTGTCCTCTTGGAGTCCCTGCGTGGGATAAGCAGTTAACGCATTTGGCTGCTAACTGACAGGCTGGAGGTTCAAGTCCACCCAGAAGTACCTCGGAATAAAGAGCTGGCAATCTCTCTCTGAAAGTCAGCCGCTGAAAACTCCATGGCCCCGTTTTGCTGTGCACACGTGGGGGCAGTTAGTTGGCGATAACTTGACAGCAACTGCTTTGGGTTTGCACCTGCTTTGGGGCTGGGTTTTGCTGCTCAAAACTCATCAGCCTTGGTCCTTATGTGAAAAAATGTGAGAGCTCCTCCCATGTACGTGCCTTTTAAGTTTCTGGAAGCTGTCTCCAAATCATTGAAGCGAGAGACAGTCCCACGTCTAATGATTGGAAGATGCTGTACTGAGAAGATACCTCTCTCTGAGGACCTAGCACATGGCTAGGGACCTTCTTCGCCTGTTGGGGGTATGGAAGGAGAGGGTCCGTTAGCTTGTCCTGCTATTTTCACTGATACAGATGTGCCTGGGTCCCCTCCTTTGTAAAACGGGAGGCATGTCCTTGTTCTAAGACAGCTAACGACTAAATGAACCGTGACCGAGAAAGGACAGGCAGGTCCTGCAGCAGTGGGGTTCAACGATCACATGTGGGAGCCATTGCTGACGTCAGCGACTGCGCAGGGGTGAAGTGACGTGTGGGCACGCGCTGCGGGCCTCCCTGCCATCATCATGACCCTCAGCCTCTCTCAGCACTCCTTGTTGGAGCGTGTTCCTGGTGTTGTGCTTACCTTGGTTTCTGGTGGGAAAATTCCTCCTAGCCAGTCGTTTAGCAGTCAGGACAATCCCTAATGGCTAAGCCAACCCAAAACAAATGCGCTGCCGCGGAGCCGGCTCCGCCAATTCCCAGCGACCTCACAGGTCACAGCAGGACAGCCCCGTGGGTTTCCGAGGCTATACATCTTTAGGGGAGTAGACAACTTCATCTTTCCCTGAAGAGCGGATGTGATTCAAACACTACGGCACGAGGGCTCCGGGCTCCGTGGGGAGCTCCGAGCATTTACGTAGAATTCACCTTGAGTTAGGTGGGGCTTTTGGGTAAGCAAGCCTTGGACTTCAACTGGAAGGCCCAACTTTCAAACCTGCCAGCATAACCCCAAGAGGGCAGGCAGCCTCATCCATGGAGAAGGTAGTGGGTTTGAAATGTAAACCTTCTAGTTAGCAGCCTAGTGCCTACCCCACTGCGCCACCAGGGCTCCTGCCTGGTAGCCCTAGACTTTGAATCACTTATAATCTGTGTTTAAAGCACTCAACCCAGAGGCCTCATGCAGAGGCCACCCCTTTCCTAAAACGAAAAGCCAATTGCATCTGTGCCAACTCCTTGCCACTGGGAGTGGTTTTCTTCAGATCCTTCACCTTTGTACCACTCATGGGCTCTGGTGGCATAGTGGTTATGCATTGGGCTGTGATCCGCATGGTTGGCAGTTTGAAACCACCAGTAGGTCCAAGGGAGAAAGACTGGACTTTATATTCCTGTCAACAGTTACAATTTCAGAAACTCACAGCAGGTTGCTATGAGTCAGCCCTGACTTGAGGACAGTGAGTGTTGTGCTTCTTACACATTCCAGACACACTGGCAGGTCTGCTTCACGGGTACAGGTCACCTCGTGCCCCCATCAGCTGCAGAGGCTGAGGCAAGCTGCCCCAGCCTCCTCCCACAACTCCTCCCCGAGCTCCCTTTGCCCTTCCATGTCCCTTGTCTTTCCCAAACACTGAAGACTCTTTGGTGGGCTTGAGGGATAAGAGATCGGAACGAAAGGGGGGATTATGTAGCAACGATCCCTACGATATAGCATAGTGGTAGAGAATCTTGGGAGGGGCTGCTGGGCTCAGATCTCTGCCACTCACTGGCAGAGATAAATTACCAAACTTCTCAGGTAAATTACCAAACTTCTCAGGGCCTCAGTTTCTCAATCCCCCAAATGGCAATAATTGCACCCACCTCACAGGTTTTTGTGATAATTGAGTTGAAGAATGTAAGACAGCTAGACCCACACCAATACACATTGGAAGCATTAGTTATTGCTACGGTAAAGCCATTCAATTCTCACAGCATCTGTATCAAGCAGGTATTATTACCATCTTTGTTTTATAAGGGCATCTTTCTTCATGTAGCTAACCTGGAATTGTCTCTGGTTATATCAAAGCAGAGTGTGCTATGGCATAAAAGTATTGTAGGGCACACCTTCTAGTGGTTTGGAGCCAATTCACGCAACCAGGTGAGAACGTTAGGTGAGATGTTGGCTAACTTCTTGGCAAAGGGGGCCTTTGGCTTTAACTGTCCCTACGTGACTAGATATATACTCTCCTAGTGTAAAGGCTCAGGACCCTCTACTTGTCATGACCGATCACTCCAGTGAAGAACAGAAAGGATCTGAAAACCGTCTATTCGCATTCTCGTTCATGAGGTCAAAAATTATGGATCTAGCCAATTTCAGTTCATTATAATTACTTAGAGAGACTTCACATAAATGCCCAGAGTTCTGCCTTCTCTTGAAAAACACAGACTTTAGATCCACCCGTATAAGCCTGCACTCACCTGGCAACGGTGGCTGGAGTGGAGCTGCCCACTTCCAAAGGGGCACAAGGTCTCTGGCTGGCCAGAGTGTTGCCCTTGCCTTTCTCACGCTAGGCCAGGGTTAGTCGCCACGTGTCGGTCAGTACCCTTGCTGCTGCTCCTATTTGTTACCAGTACCTGCTTTACTCATGCTGCTTCTTTCTGTAGACCTTCCGTTTCTACGTAGTCTATGGTTTCTTTGAAGCATGCATTGTCAGTGATGTATTAACAACTATCGAATGGAAAGCTCTGTATTAAAAGAATGCTATGCACCAAAATGCTGGCTGCTCTTCTGACAAAAGTGCTTGGGAAGGAAAGCTGACTATGATGCGCAGGGTATTCTAGGGCGGGCGGGCTAGGAAGGTCATTGGCACAGTGCTCAAAGCTCTAGGAAGTCCGAATGATGTTCACCCAGATGACAGACTGGTACCCTCTCCCGGAGCTCGTCCATGTACCAGGCGCCCACTTGGTTCATCAAGACCCACTTCACGTTCTCCCTTGGGTCAAGTCTCCTTGTTTAGGTCCAATGCCTGCTTCCTGACCCAAACCCCAAGCCTTCTAGATACCCATTGGTGGTAGTTCCATAATTTCATGTCAACTTGAGAAGTGTAGGGGCGGAGTCTAGCCTGTCAATCAGGTCACAGTACGATGATGCCTCCTTGTGGGCCTGGCCTTCTTAGGAGGATTCTGGGAATTTCCTCTGTCTCTCTGCCTTCTTCTTCCTGTTGACAAGCCATGCGGAGACTTGCTGAGCCCTATGAGAGTCTCTCTCTCTCTCTCTGTTTCACCTTCCTGCTGTTGAGTCGACTGGACAGCTGCCAGAGCCACACTGAGACCTGAAAGAGCCCTGGAGATGCTTCCACCACAACTGGATCCACAAGACTTTGCAACCTGGATCCACAAGACTTTGAACCTGGATCCACAAGACTTTGAAGTCTGTGATCTTTCTTCATTTTACTTCATTGCATGTGCTGCATGAGTCTGAAGAGGGGTTTATAGACTAGTATCAGACTTATGGACTAATATCAGACCTATGGACTTGATCAGGACTGGGCTGGGATGTTTTCTTAATATACAACTACTCTTTGATGAACAGCTCTCTCTCACACCTATATGAGTGCCATTGGATTTGTTTCTTTAGTCAACCTGGCCTAATACACCATTTAATGCTTTCTGGAATGCTGTGCTTCATTTTACTTAGTAAGTAAATATTTTTTATCTGTAGTGAACAACAACATTAAAGAACCCACAAAAAACAAAAAACAAAAGGTCACTACAATATGTGTTCCCCCATCAAAAGAGGCATTTTGTATGCCCTGAGCTCAGGGTGACAGATTGAGAAATTCCCAAAGCTCCCTGCTCTACTATTATGTACAATTAGGAAAAGCCATATAGGTCATAAAGGGGTCCTTCGGGGTCCTGAAACGCTGTGAGTTCATCTGGATCAAAAGCTTGGCCCTGCGAGAGTCTGGAGTAGTGTTCTAACATGATAGCTTTGTTGCCACATAGACGCAAAACAATCCTTAAAAATAGATCCCCTTTGAAAGCAAAGCAGATTTCCCTATAGGCCCAGCACGGATTCTCTGGGACTGCTGATAGCTGTTTGGATGCAGATGAGATATATTTAAAAGGGAAAGATTGGGAGGAGACTACACACCAAAGGGCTCTGGGAACACACACAGGGACACAGCTGCAGAAGACTGGACACCCCAACAAAGGCTCTCCAAAGAGTGCCAGGGGACCGCTCTGCCATCCCAGCTCACAGGCAGAGGCAGCAAGCAGGTCTGTACCCTCCTCCCTTGCCCCCCCCCCTCCCTGAAGGCCAACTCTCACCATGAAGCTCAGGCCTTCCGGATGTGACAGCCGCCTGGGCCACAAAGCGTGCAGAGTCAGCTGCCTCTTCTTGAGAGGGGTATTTACTCAGGACGATGAAGTGGGCCTGTCAGCACAAAGAGAAGAGACGAGTACTTTAATATAGCTTGGCAGCAGTGACCCTGTCCTTGCAGGGACAAGAGCTGGACAAAATGATTTATGTGGAAACACAGCCATGGGAGGACTGGATTTAAAAAGCATCAGATTGTAAAGAGAGTCCTGGACTCTGATTCCGGATGGCTTGATATTGTGGTTGGGACCAACCATTGACATCAAGAGAATTCTGCCTCATGGTGACCTTAAAACCTTATAGGACAGAGTAATGTGTGACCATTGGGTTTCCATGGCTGCAAAATTTCTTTAGAATAAACTGGCATTCTGTGATGCTTACCTTTCAGACACAATTGCTGAAGACAAAATGGGTGCATAAGCAAAGGTGGTGAAGAAAGCTAATAGTGCCAGGCTATTAAAAGATATAGCATCTGGGTTCTTAAAGGCTTGAAGAAGCCTTGAACAAGCAGCCATCTAGCAAGGAAGCAACAAAATCCACATGGAAGAAGCACACCAGCCTGTGTGATCATGAGGTGTTGACAGCATCAGGTATCAGGCATCAAAGACCCAAAACAAACAACATTGATGCTAATGAGGGGGTCGGAGGGGAGAGCCACAGATCCTCTGTACACAGTTGGACATCCCCTCACATAATGGTGACAAGGAAGGGTGAGTCAGCAAGGGTGTGGTATAGCACCAACAAAACACATTCCTCTAGTTTTTAATGGCTCCCCCACCCCCACTATCACGACCCCAGTTCTACCTTACAAATCCAGCTAGACCAGAGCATGTACACTGGTACAGATAAGAGCTCTCTCTCTCTCTCTTTTTTTAAAAGAAGTTCCTTTTAATATAGGAAAGAACTAGGAGGCAAAGGGCATTTATAGAGGTCTAAATACAGGCATGTACTTATGTAAATATATTTATATATGATGGTGGGGAAATAGATCTATGTGCATATAGTTATAGGTTTAGTATTAAGGTAGCAGATGGACATTGGGCCTCCACTCAAGTACTCCCTCAATGCAAAAACACTTTGTTCTATTAAACTGGCATTCTCTGATGCTCACCTTCCTGACACAATCACTGAAGACAAAGTGGGTACATAAGCAAATGTGGTGAAGAAAGCTGATGGTGGCCGGCTATCAAAAGATACAGCATCTGGGGTCTTAAAGGCTTGAAGATAAACAAGTGGCCATCTAGCTCAGAAGCAACAAAGCCCACATGGAAGAAGCACACCAGCGGTGTCAATGGGATGAGGTATCAGGCATCAAAGAACAAAAAAATCGTATCCATGTGAATGAGGGGGCGTGGGGAGTGGAGACCCAAAGCCCTTTTGTAGGCAGCTGGACAGTCCCTTACCGAAGGGTCGCAGGGAGGAGACGAGCCAGTCAGGGTCCAGTGTAGCAATGATGAAACATACAACTTTCTTCTATTTCTTTAACATTGCCCCCTCCCCCATTACCATGACCCCAATTCTACCTTACAAATCTGGCCAGACCAGAGGATGTACACTGGTACAGATAGGAGCTGGAAACACAGGGAATCCAGGACAGATGAACCACTCAGGACCAATATTGAGAGTAGCCATACCAAGAGGGAAAGGGGAAGGTGGGGGAGAAAGAGGGAACCGATCACTGTGATCTACATATAATCCCCTTCCTGGGGGACGAACAACAGAAATACAGGTAAAGGGAAACATTGGACAGTATAAGACATGAAAAAAATTATAAATTATCAAGTGTTCGTGAGGGAGGGAGGGTGGAGGAGGAAGGGGAAAAATTAGGAGCTGATACCAAGGGCTCAAATAGAAAGAAAATGTTTTGGGAATGATGATGATGACAAATGTACAAATGTGCTTGACACAATGGATGGATGTATGGATTGTGATAAGAGCTGTACGAGCCCCCAATAAAATGATTTTTTTAAAAAGAGCTCTCAATACATGGAATCCAGGGCAGATAAACCCCTCAGGAACAGTAGTGGGAGTACCATGAGGGGAAGGGGGACGGTGGAGGGAGAAGGGGACAATGGGGAAACAGATTGCAATGATCAATGTATTACCCCCTCAATCCCAGGGGGACAAACAACAAAAACATGGGTGACAGGAGACAGCAGATGGTGTAAGATATGGAAATAATAATAATTTATCAAGGGTTTACGAGAGTGGGAGAGTTGGGGAGGGAGGGAAAAAAGAGGAACTGATACCAAGGGCTCATGTAGAAAGAAAATGTTTTGAAAATGATGATGGCAACATATGTACAAATGTGCTTGATACAACTGATGTATGAATTATTATAAGAGCTGTAAGAGCCCCCAATAAAATGATTTTATTTTTAAATGATTTATTAAAAAAAAAACTCTTTTGTGGGAGCAGGTTGCCAGGCTTTCTCCTGCCCTGTGGATTTGAACCACTGACACTGTTAGTAGGGGAACATGAACCCTGCAACATCAAGACTCCTTGGGTCAGGCCCTATCACTCAGAAAATTCTCTAAAGATCTATGAATCCCATGAACAGGAACTAATGATCTAATAGCCTTCCAAATAAAACACTACTATTCACCTGCCTGTCAACATTCAGAGTTTTAAAAATACAATTAGCAATGTTTACTTCATCAGGTAAACAGATACTTAAAATCACCTACAATAGAGGGCATGAGCTATAAAGAAAAGGAGGTACTACAGAAGTAGAAAATACGGTGAGAGAATACAATGCAGTGATACGGCAGGGTTGGTAGTTTGTAATTAATCGCCACGGGAGTGGTAGAAATACTAAACTTCTCCAGTCCCAAGGGGGGTGAGCCAAAGACCAAATGCAAAATGAGCCAGTCGACTTGGCGATTTTCCCCTTCATCAACTTCCCCAAACCCTCTGCCTGTGCGTGGACCACGACTCAAGGTGACCCCATGCATGCAGAGCAGAACCATGCTCCAGGGCTTTCTTGGCAAAAATCTTATCCAGGTAGGTCTCTGGGTCTTTCTTCCATAGTGCTACTGGGTAGGTTCGAACCACTAACCTTTCAGTTAGGAGCCAAGAGCAAAGCATTATGTCACCTGAGACCATAACTATCTCTGCAGCACACTACCTAAGGAGAGCAGCCGCTGTGAGGCCAGAAAAGATGCCACTCATATTGTCTGGAGACGTTGAGCACACTCTACTTTAGAAGGATCAAAACTCAAATTTTAAAAACGTGTGATATTTTGCCTCTACTGACCATAATGGAGCAGAATGGGTTAAATATGTCTCCATCAAAATTATTTTCAAAAGGATAATTACATGTTCTAAAAGTTCGCTGAGTCATCTTTTGCCCTGGAAATAAGAAGCAAAGTTTTCCAAGAGGACAACTCACTCACAGTGTTGAGAGTGGGTCCTGGAAGCTAAGTGTATCATGAAATTTTCATAGCTGTAATTATATTTTCCTGCATAAGCAGACTCTTGTCATTCATTATTCACTTCAGAAACACAATCTCTAATTCACTGTTCGATATTCACGAAGCTTCTACAAACTCTATGCTGGCAGGAGCAGGGACAACCGTGTTTACAATGTCCCATGTTAGCATCTCAGGTATTCAGTGACATTAAATTCAGTTGTGTCGAATTTAGTCCTATTCAATTACCTTTACTTTAATTTCTGAATGCTTTATGTCACAGCTATTGGGTTAATATTACGAAATTACACACACACATACACACACACATTAGGCCAGGTCTTGAGTTTTATTTAATTTATTTATTTAATTGGTAAATATTTCCTTTCTTTTTTTCTTTTTTAAACCATGAGAGCTCACCCGCAACAATGTGTGGAGGCTTCATCTTTTCTACGCTAACAGACACAGCCTTCCCTAGGAGTGAACCTCTCTCTCCCGTCAGCACTTTCAGTGACTTCACCGTCCATAATCAGCCTGCTTCTGCCAGGCAACGAAGGGATGGGTTAACAGAGGAAAGAGTTCTCCTCCCCAACATCATGACCCCAATTCTACCTTACAAATCTGGCTAGACCAGAGCATGTACAAGGGTACAGATAAGAGCTGGAAACACAGGGAATCCAGGACGGATAAACCCCTCCGGACCAATAATGAGAGTAGGGATACCAGGAGGGGCAGGGAAAGGTGGGGGGATAAAGGAGGCATGGATCACAATGATCTACATACAACCCCCTTCTGGGGGACAGACAACAGAAAAGTGGATGAAGGAAGACAGCAGTCAGGGTAAAATATGAAAAAAAAAAGGATAAATTATCAAGGGTTCATGAGAGAAGGAGGGCGGGGGAGGGGGGGAAAGAGCTGATACCAAGGACTCAAGGAGAAAGAAAATGTTTTGAAAATGATGATGGCAGCATATTTACAAATGTGCTTAACACGATGGATGGATGGATGGATGGATGGTAATAAGAGCTGTACGAGCCCCCAATACAATGATTTTTTAAAAAATAGATGGAGTTCAATAAAATAATTATTAGAAAATGCTTTTATTGTGGTAAATATGTAATAAAACATTTGTTTTTCTTGTAAGGATAATTTAGTGATGTTATGTTCATCATGTTATGCAACCATCACCATTATCTGTTTCCCAAAATTTCCATAGCCTTTTCTATAGAAGAAATTCCAGGAGGAGAGTCAGCGATGTGAGGGCTAGCAACCCCCAGGTGCTTTGCCATCCCAGGCCAACACAGCGAGGGGCAGAGAGAGGTGCTTGCTGGAGCTCAAGCTGCCACTTCCTGTAGAGGGACCAGCCTACCTGCAGGAACTTTGGGGAGATGCCCTAAGGGGTAAAGACCGTATCCTCACGCTCTTCTCCCTGTCCAGAGTGAAGGGGAAGAGCACTGGTACAGGGCTTAAGGCAGCCAACGAAGCACAGAACAAGACTAAGAAGACAATCGAGTGGAGCCGGAGGGGTGAACTGAAAACATCCAGCAAATGCTTGGCTTCTCAGGGTCTTGAGAGGCCCATTTTCTCTGGCTCCTCAGCCATCATACTTAGGGCCATGGTCTCATTGAATCAGTGCTACCTCTGGGT